TGACCGCCCCGCCCTGCTAATCTGCCTGGTTTTCCTCGCGTGCCGGCCATTTTCAACTTTGTTTACACTAGAGGAACCTCTTTCACCCTTCTTCAAAAAACATCTGCTTTTCTTCGCAAACACAGCTAAGTCTCTTGCACACTTTAACGTTTCTCTTCTCTCCTCCCCCCTCCGTTTATATCACACAGTTCGTTTGTTTACATCCGGGATTCCTTCCTGACGCCGCTTCCGAACTCACTTTTAAAACTTTTCCGCTTGGCTCCTTCTCCAATTCATTGCCAGTCTGTACACAGACCCCTTGTAGCTTCGCTAATTCGCTGATCTTCTCTGCTTGTCCCGGTCGGCATCAGCTATGCTCAGTTTAAAACTGAGCCTCACAGTGGATGGACCGATTGGGGCAAAAAGGAGCGCCTCAATTCTCCGGCATTGCGTCATCGAAGAGGTCGCCCCCCCAGCGCCCCCAGCTTGGAGCCTATAACTAAGGCTCCCCTGGGGGTGCCACTTGAGGTGGCACCCCTCCAATCCCACTGGAGCGTGGATCGCCTCCCCAAAGGTAGGGGAGAGCGTCCACCATCGCCGAGCCACAGACCGGAAACATGGTCAAACACTCATCACATACGAAGTTATTCAGTTCACAAATTAATTTCTCTAACAGACCTGCCAGTTGAGTTCCTCAGATGCTATGACTTTATGCAATATTAACTTCACTGCCTGCTAGAGGGTTGTTCTAAAGTGGTACCAGAGAATGCCACTGAAAATAAATGAATGATAAATACAGTACCACAATACCAGCTACTGAAAGTGGTAACATGCCTGATTCAATACAAAATTATTGCTCATTAAACGTAATTTTCCTTTAGCAACTACTAGTTAAGCATAAAAATGCCCACATAACTCAACTTCTGATTGTGAAAGAGAAAAGGCCTGTGTCTATCCCAGGGGTGACATGACTGCCTTATGTGGACATAATCTGCCACAAAATAGAAAATGGCTTTGTGGACTAATCTGCATCTCTAATTCTGATCCTGGCCCTACAATCAAAAGAATCATAAAATGAGGCCAGGATGGACAAGGGGGAAAAGCAGAAAAACCAAAAACTTTAAAAAACCCTAAAGAAGATAAATGCCAACAAAGATCTTGTAACACTATGCCATGAATCTTGGTTACTACTACGAGTGTTCCTTGTGGAACACTGCAAGCTTTCAGCTCTAAGCCCTGCAACATCAGCAGGGAGAGATGTGCAATTTAGCCCCCCAGGATGCCTGTGAAGGGGGAAACATTCCTACATTTATAGCCAACCATTGGCAAGTTATGATTATCTGAAACTTTGCTGCTTCAAATACATAAGTGACTGGACAAGTATCAAGCACAGCAAAAACATGCAGCTGCTATCTACTAAACTGCAAATAATTCAGAACCACATCTAAGTGTCAGTATCATATTCTTGGCTCTTATTTTGCATAGGGAAAAGATGCCATTCTTCTTCTGACAGCACAATAGTTGTCTGTTAAAAGATGTGCAGTTTTCAACACTGCAGACACTGCATCAACTTTTCCCACTAACATCTGCAGAAGCCACTTAAGATCTTACATCTGTTTGAAGAGGCAATATAAGAAACAGTGCAGCAGAGCCTCTCTGCAACTGCATATAAATCTATTCAACCTACCTCTGTAGTCATGGATTGGAACTCTGAAAAAGCCAGTCACAAGATACCCTGACCTCAACAAATTTAAGGGATACTGGCCTTAATCCAAAAATCTATCCAACCTCCCTCATAACACAGTAAGCTTAGTTAGCTACCAGACAGCTTCAGGCACAAAGTCAGTAATCAGGCTTTGTAAGTGAGAAGACATGGCCTGAATAATTGGGACTGACTCAACTCATGCACAGAGCATGCCCATCTCTACTAATTTCAGTAACTGTTGGACAAAGCCAGCAATAGTACTGTCAAAGAACCCATATTATGTCTTTCCAAGAGAAAATAAGCTTTTAACATGACTAACATCCCAGGTTTCATGCTGAATTCTTTATATGAATTGACCTTACCTGACCTGAAAGATAGGCAATGTTAATGAGCTTGTAAAATGAAGGGTTTACATTTTACCTTTTGTGTGAAGAAAATCCAGAGCACAGGCAATATCTTTCACTACCCTGCTGGCTTCTCTCTCATTAAAGTGCTTTTGCTTTTGTATATGGACCAGGATAGAGCCTGTGGAGAAAGAGGACAAACAGGTGCTTTTTAGAACAAAGGCATCTGAAAGGAAGTGATTCTAGACTCAACAGTCCACAGATGCTATCATCTGAGCCAATGTGTTTGATACAAACTGAGTATCAATATTTCTGATCTCAACACCAACCAGACCAGAATTATTGTTTTTTTTGTAGATAACTGGCTGCATCAATAAATATTTTATGCAAAATAAGGGTTTGCAGAAAACAGGACATCAGAAGAAACACTAAAGCCACCGTTTATAAGGTCAGGCATAAGTGGTGCTGAAACAGTACTATGGAAAAGTTGTACCCTTAGCCTTTCAAACAGATGCTACAATGAACGGAATGATCCAAAATGACAAGAACCACATGAACTGTGCCTCTGCATGATCAAGAGCTCAGATGAATGATGCAGGTCACATGAGACTATGGTGTGCTCACGCCATTCAATTACAATGCTATTTCACTACCTGCTCCTTTGAAGAGAAAGTGGGAAGAAAGCAGTAAGACTGCAAAAAGAGGGAAGCAGGAAAAAAGGACAGAAATTAATGTGGGGAGCAGAACTAAAAGGGAGGGGACACCAACAATGGGGAAAGAAAGCACAACAGGCTGAGAAGAGTCCAGACAAGAGGCTCTTGCTCTTCTGCTGCCATTAATATAACCCGTTCAGTTTTTCTTCTGCGTTATATTATGCAGCACTGAGAAATAAGTACCATGTACATTTACACACTGCATCCTTTTCCTTTCCTCCTCACACTACAGAATATGGAAATTTCTATTTGGTTCCCATCATAAGTGTGTTTGGGGGGGGGGGTGAGATGGTAGAGATAATTCTATCTTCCATCTTGGAAAATAAATCATAGTATTTCCCTTGGCTAAATTTAATGCATACAGAGGAACTATGTTAAGCAACAGAAGGAGCAATCTTGCAGCATCTTAACGTGTAACAAGTTATTCCAGCATAAACTTTGCAGACTGGAGTCCATTTGTACGCATCTGATGAGGTGCACTCTAGTCCACAAGAGCTTATGCTAAAATATTAAGGCACAACATTCTTATTATTGCTTTAACACTGCCACCCCTCTGGAGTAAAATAGCAAGTTGTGTTCAGGGTGCATAGAGCTTGCTACTGATATTAATTATGCAAATAATGAGTATTTGTCTAGGTTTTATTATCCCTATTATTGTTGAGTGCGCTTTTTATACCCAAGTGGTACGAAAACAAACAGCAGAGTAGCCATGGAGAAGATGAGTGTATACAGACTGCAGAAACCCAACATTATCCCTCTCATGCGTTCAGCCATCAGCAGTTATAATCACACATTTTCAAAGCTTTTCTCCACAACTGTGGCTAAAACTAAAACATACCGCTCCCAAATTTCTATATAACATTTTAACAGGACAAGATTTTGGAATTAATGTAAAGGTCTCAGAAGTGGCATTACAACAAAGTTAGAGTCCAATAGCACTAAGACCAACAATTTTTTATTCAAGATGTGAGCTTTTGTGTGCATGCACACTTCGTCAGACGATAAAATGGGAACTATATCACAGTTGTATATATAGGGGTGTCTTGTTAAATTAGCATGTAAAATAGTGAAAATATTTTTAAAAACGGATCAAAAGAATGACACACTTGGTTTCTGGTTATAATCTGTTTTGGTTCAACTGGGGGGGGGACAACATAGGTAATAAATATGTTAGAACTGGCGATTGATGTGTCCTAATTTGTGAGAATCCCGTCCTTAGACCCCCCATCCATCTCCTTTCTAGCATGGAGGCGTCTTTACAGCATCTCGGCTGTGCAGAGTATTTTCCTTGTCCCCAAAACAGAGAACTACATTTAAATCTACCATTCCAAATTACATTACATATTCAACTACATTCTTAATTGTAAGGCAGAGCCAGACTGGACAACACAGCTGTATTATTCACTCATAAATTTAGCATTGCTGAAAGAATGAATAACAAATTTAGAGTCCAGTGGCAACTTTAAGACCAACAAAGGTTTATTCAAGGTATGAGCTTTCGTGTGCAAGGCACACATTATGTATGTTCATTACAGTTGCATAGCAGGGTACAGGGACTTTGATTTTCAAGATGTAAATTATAGAAAGAAAAAAAACTTGGAGCTTTAATGTCTTCATTTTTTCAATCCTGACCCAACCTACCCACCCTCTAATGGACATAACACAATTATTCTTTGCAGACTTCATTGACTCTAATCTTTGAAGCTTTGCGATTGGATAATCGGTGGATAATCAGTGGATGCCTAGATACATCAATATACATCATCTCTGAAGATGCATTTTACACAGGGCAAAATGAATAATGTATACAGTAATACCAAGAAGTCCTTGTATTACATTTTCACCATGCTCATTCCTCTCAGAAGTTTAAAGTCTTATAAACCAACAGTTTGCAAAGCCAATTTATTATGAACATATGCACACACATGTGATGTATATAACATACCTCCAAGCAGCTTTTCAAAGACAAGGTAGTATCTTGCATCATCTTCAAAAAATTCTATTAATTCCAAAATGTTCCTTTAAAGAAAAGATAAACTGTGTTCAGTGTTTTCCTACACATTCAAAACATAACACACTGAAGAACACAACAGAAGAGTTCTTATTTGAAAATGTTTTGATGACATGCCAGGAGGTCAGATCTAAGGAAGACGTTGACTGTGCAGACACCATGGAGAGTGCAAACAGCAGGACAGTGCAGCTGGGGGGTTTGGAAGAACCTTCTCCCATAGTGCTCTCATGCTGGGCCTTCAGAGTAAACTGCTTGCAAGCCTTGCAAGCACTGACATTGTGGGATTCACCCAGACACAACAGGCACAGGGAGTGCTCATCCAAGTATGTCATTTTAGTACCATACTTGGTACGTTTTTTTTGAAGAGGGCCATCATGAAGGCTAACCATGAGGCGACGACCTTGTTTTCCAATGAAATCACCAATGAAAGAAACCATGAACATAAACAGCTAGAAGATCAGCAAACTTCTCTCAGCAAAAACATTTGTCCAATTAAAGAGAAAAATTATCCTCAGAGGCAAATTCCACCTCAGAGGAGAGGGAAAAAACACAGCATGTCCTAACTTCTGGGCAGCAAAGGAAGGACTGAGGGAAGGGGGCTCTCCCCCCCCAGTCACATGTCGGTTTAGATAGGAAGAGCCAGCTCAAGCTGCTTGATACCTCCATGGGGGACTACATAGAAGCCATGGATGAACAATAATTCTTACAATGTGTACTGATATTGTTCAATGCTACAACAGTTACTTACTTGTTACCTTGACACTGATACAATGTTTCCACTTCCCGAAACACCCGACTCCGGCTATGCCCAGCACTTTTTTCAATTATCTGTTAGAAAAATGGAAAACTAGTTTTCAAAGTGAGAAATTCATCTGGACAATTTTGGCAGCATTTCCCCAAGAATTTTCATATATTTTAAAGAAAATTTTCTCCGTATTTTAAAGAATTAAATAGTTTTGATCTTGTTCTTTGAAAATGCAAGATGCTTTCTGGCATTATACAAGCCTAACATATCCAAATGTACACAGGATGATTCAATACCTAGGCAGATTTATATTATATTTTTTTTCAATACACATAGCTTAACTTTCTCACTAAACTTCTTGCAGCTCAGACATTAAATTATTTAATGATCACAGGTGAGAGACATACAGGGTGGCATAATTCTGCTTCGATATTTCCAAAGAACACTCCCATTCCCAACAGAAATGTCCAAAGATTTAAAAATAAAATAAATTGTTAGTGTGCAATGGCCTATTATTTTAATAAGGAACTCAAGAAGGTTAACATGCACCCCCCAATCACAGGCTGTTATATTAAACCTCATACTAAAAAAAATCCAAACACAAAAATGTACAGATGCTTATTGCAGCCACAGGAGGCCCACACTCTTCAGCTACATGATTTGTTCAGGACATATGATGGGAATAATTCAGATAGTTTTGTCTCTGAGAACCTCAGCAGTAAGTAAATTTTTACTTACTGGATTTGTTGCTGGCAGCATGAATAACACTGCCAGTCATCTTGCTGACACATGAATCAAATGATGACTGACAAGCACAAAGTTAGTGTCTGAACTGGCATGAAATGTACATTCCATAAGAAAACTCACTGTATTATATATATATTATTTACATCATGTACGATCCCCACCTTCCTTGCTGAGGTTCAAGGAAGATTACAACTGAAAACAATGCAGTAAGGGCAATATAATACACAGAACCAACAGTACAGACAATCTGCAGCATTAAAATACTGGACAACAATGAAGTGAGTTACTAAATGCAGAGTAATAAGGCTGGGTTACAAAATTAAAGGAAAACCCAACAGGGCTTTTCTTATGTTCTAATGTAACCCCTAACATAATACACACAAGGAAAACTACTTTAAATCAACCTGATTTACTTCATACACATTTTTAAGCAACTACAAGCAGTCAGAGTTTGCTTATGTACTCATTTCAGCTTCACCTTTGAAGAATAGATTTTTGTATTGTTTCAAAGTTCTCATAACTCATTTGACCAGAAGCAGTAACGGGGGGGTCCATGTGTATTTACATGCATCCACTTACTCACACCTAAAGCAGTCATGGGGGACCTTTTCTTTAAGAACAGATGATTCCCAATTCCTGCTTTAGAAAGAAATAGGTGGACATGTGTCTACACATACATCTGGTTCAGCCCATAGCATCACAAAAGAAATGTTCACCACAGGAAGTGATGCTTGCCTCAACATTTAACAACAACATTTAAAATCCATCCCCAGCCTATGAATTTTACAGCATATCAGACCATCTCTATTTTTCAAATTTTCCTGGAAATGCTTCCCAAGTCTGTCCATGATAATTCTAAGCAATAAAAAGCTTAAACTATACTTACCTTAACTGCATACTCCTTCCCATTTTGCAAGCTAACAGCTCCCTGAACTTTGGCACAGGACCCTTCACCAAGCAACTCTGCAGTAAGTTTGTATAAATCTGTCAAAGAAAGCCAGCATATTGTTAGCAGAAGACACTCTGGAAAATGGCAAGGATAGGCTATTGAGCTAATGGTTCTCTCAAATTCAGACAAGACAGCAGCTCCTTTACTAAGGAACAGAGTTGATAACAGTTTTAATTATATGATCAATCTAATTCATTGATGAGAACAAAGTCAAAACAAATAGCAATGTGGGATCTCTGTTCTAAATAATCTCTGCTCTACATAAAATCTCTGTTCTACATAAAAATAGTACGTTATAGCCTGCCATTAAGACCTGAGCTTCCTCCAGAGGAAGAAATTTCTTGCACTGGAAAAAGGTTCCACACTTAGTTTTAAAAAGTAGTAGGATACAACCCATTAACTTCAGAAAGGATAAACCAGGCAAAACAATAGCCCAATATCAACATAATGACTGAGCCGAAATGTTTTGGACCTGAATTTAGAGAGATTTTTCTCCAGGAGAAATCCAAGATGTTAGGCCTATTCACAATAACTTTAACATATCTACAGCTAGCACAGTTCTCCCAAGGAAACAAAGTAAGTTCCCTCTAAATTTAACCTCATGAGATACAATCCAGACAGCAAACTCCCCAAAAGTTTCATGGAAAGTGTTTTTGAGTGCAGAATTAAATGCTCAGGGATTCTTCCCTCAAAATAATTCTAAATATTTCCAAGGAAGGAGAACAACTCATGCAAAGATATTTAGATAGTTCAGATACTTTGCTGTCTTGGAAAGGCAGCAGAGCCACAAAGAAAATAAAGACCAGATGCCGCTCATAATGAAGTCTATAAGAGCACACAAGTTGAAATGAAAAATCAATAACCCATCTTAATTGATAACATCAGGAAGAATTATACTGATACAAGATACAATCTAGATGCAAGACAAACCTTCAAATCTTCCTGGGAAATGATCTGAAGCTCTGGTCTTTTTCTTCTTTTTCCTTTTACCATTGTCTGAGATAGGAACAGGTTGGCTGCTCACCATTTCTGTGAAGCAAAGTTTATAGCAATCTATTTAAGTTTCAGGTGGAAAATTAAAGCAGTCTGTATTCAGGTTCTTGCTTTCTACAGTTTACTTCACCATTAAAACTCTCATCACATTCCTTCCACATTGCTGTCCATTAAACAGGCATTTTTTCCTTATTCACAAGGAATATCAACAATTTTCAAACGGGAAAGTAAACAATGCTTTTTCCAAAGTAATTATGAAGTGGTTACAAAAAAGATGAGTCTCCAAATGGCAGACAGTTAGTTAACAACATATTCATCCAGGCTTAGTTTTATTTTATTTTATTTTATTTTTGGATTTATATCCCGCCCTCCCCGAAGGCTCAGGGTAGCTAACAATGAGGCACAAGTGCCAGAATTAAAACACATAAAACAGTCTAAAACAGTAAAACAATATAATACAACAACAAAGTATCAGTGCAAGATGGGGTAGATCTTAGTCGAATGGCATTGGTCCATGATAATTCTAAGCAATAAAAAGTTTTAAAATTAGTTTTACCTTATCAGATTTTAAAATGGCCGGCTTCTGTTTTATGCTGCTTATATTCGTAAGCTGCCTCAAACAGCACTCTGAAAAGGCAGCATAGATATATTCTAAATAAATAAATAATGGAGCTATAACATGACCTTTCTGATTGTCAAATTAAGCAGCATCACTGTTACCCAAATCAGTTCCCATGTTAGTCCCATGATGTGAAGGGTATTCCCCACACACCGAGAACTAGAACATGAATTCTAAGGTGAAAAGGGATACTTAAAGTCTTTTGGATGCATGGGTCCCAGTAAGTGTTCCCTCTAAGCTGAGTTAGTGTGAGCTAGCTCAGTTTTTTAGCCTCTGGTTCACACATTTTTGTCTTAACTCACACAGGATGGCACCAGAGCAACTAGTTTATGCCATAGCCAATTTGCTTGCTCACAACTTTAATGCCAGCAGCTCACAAAGTAGAATTTTTGCTCACAAGACTCCACAGCTTAGAGGGAACAGTGGTCCCAGTGTGGCCCATTAAGTGTACCAGGGAAAAAAAGATGGAAGGAAGAGAGCGGCAAGTTACTTCACTGTCCTAACCAAGATACAGAGTAGAAGATGAAGCTTCAGTAGAAGCCATTCAGTACAGTCCTAACGTTCAGTTCTGTTAATTTAAATTAGGTGCCCAATTAAAGTTACTTTGCTCAAAATCATTTATTTATTTGATTCAATTTGTATGCCACACTACCCGCTGAAGCAGGCTCAGGGTGGCTTACATTAAAAGTTAAAAATACAATAAAACACCAATTCAGTGGATACAAAACACATACAATTAATATACATTACAAATAACGTCACAAATAAATACAGTTAAAGTGCAAGTGGCGGTAACTATAGGTCATGATGTAACAAATCTAACAGAATGTATGGCCAGAAGATGTTACTGTTGACATCACAGGCAGTTACTCCTAATCAAGACCTGGTGGAAAAGCTCCGTTTTGCAGGCCCTGCGGAATTGTAAAAGGTCCTGCAGGGCCCTGATGTCCTCCAGGAGCTCATTCCACCAGTATGGAGCCGCTACTGAGAAGGCCCTGGCCCTAGTAGAGGCCAATCTGGCGTCTCTTGGTCCAGGGAGGGTCAGGCGGTTTTGAGACCCCGATCTCAGTGCCCTCTAGGGAACATGTGGGGAAAGGCAGTCCATGAAGTAGACAGGCCCCAAGGACTTCCGGTTGATGGCGGCGCATTAGCAGACTCCCCTCTCGGACCTCCCAGGGGTGAAGCTGCACTCCGGCCGAAGGAGGGGGTGTGCAGGTTCATCACCCCCCCCCCAGGGACCCGGCTGAAGGGGCCCTGGCCAGGGGACTTTTGAGAGGTCGCCTCTTTGCCGGCGCAATGCCGGGGAATTGAGGCGCCTTTACGTCCCAAAGGTTCTTCGTGCCGTGAGGCCAAATGGACACAAGTGACACCGACCGGGGCAAGTGCAGGAGGTCGAGCAACATAAATGATCATTAAAAGAGGTCTGAGAACCAACTATGAACATGAGTCTAATGTAAGCTCTTCGTGCCGTGAGGCCAAATGGACACAAGTGACACCGACCGGGGCAAGTGCAGGAGGTCGAGCAACATAAATGATCATTAAAAGAGGTCTGAGAACCAACTATGAACATGAGTCTAATGTAAGCGGCGGTTAAAGAGAAAAGAATGCTCCCTACCCATTCTGTAAAACTGAAAGTGAGACGGGCAGGGGAGGGACGCTCCCAACCACATGAACTGTTGAGCAAATTGAGGGGGGGGAGCAGAAGAGAAAGCGTGCTAAACTGTTAAGAAATACTCACCAAGGTGAGTTCGAGCATTTGGGTGCATAACAAGTATTAAAAATACTTGTTAAAGTAAACAATTGATAAAGATGGCGGGGAAGAGAACGGAGAAAGAGAAACTTCTGAAATTGAAACTAACGGAGAGTCCTAAACCGGAAGGAACCAACGAGCTGGCAAAGACTTTGGCAGAATCCATGCACCCCCTACTGGACCAGATGAATAACATCAAGGAGCAGATGTCAACAATGACCCAGTGTATCACCACACGGCAAACACATATAAACGAGACTCTTAAAATGATGAATGAAACAGCTGTGAAGGTGAAAGAAGTGGACGCCACTGCACAAAAGGTGAAAAAGAAAGTTCAAAAGCTGGAAAAGAAGCAAGTTTCTATGGAAGATCAGCTGTTACAACTACAAATGGAAAAGGCTAATATGATTCTTCGCTTTCAGGGCATGCCAGAGACTAAGGGAGAGAATCTTAAGGAACTAATGAGTGAAATATTGGCCCCAGTGACAGATACGAAGGCGGAATGTCTGTTAAACAATATGGATGTGGCCTATAGGTCATATTCTGGATATATAAAGAAAAATAATCTGCCTGGGGAAATTGTGGTAAGATTCTTGAAGAGGCATGTGAGGGATGCAATCCTGAAAGCAGTATCTGGAGCACCCCTGAAAGTGGGGGAGAATACCATCAGAACATTGAAAGATATTCCATTTGAGATAAGACAAAGGAGAAAGAAATATAAAGAATAAACTCTTTTTCTACAGACAAATGCAATTGGATATAGATGGTTAACTCCAGAAGCGTAACCTT